CCGAGCGGCCACCTCGGCCTCTGGGCCTCTGCCCTCAGGAGCCGGCGCCAAGTGGGAGCGGCCACAGCGTGGCCCGCGCCCTCTCCGATCCCCGGCCCTCGCTAGCATGCCCTGACTTTGTGCCTCTCTGTTCTGTGCAGGAAAAGCTGTGGAAATACACCCGGATCGAAATGCCCCTGGCCCGCGTGACCCGACCCCAGGAGACGCAGCCCAGTTACCCGACATCGTGGTCAGCAGGGAGCTGGGTCGCTGGCTGGATGCTGCCGTTTCAGGGACTCAGTGCCTAGGAGGGCTCCTGTGCAAGCAGAGAAGCAGAGATGCAACATTTTTAAAGTTTCACAAAGCATCCGGCTGCACCCAGGTCCCTGGAGCAGGAGACAAACAGAATTAATGTTTAATACCTTCGGGTATAGGTTTGAGTTTTTTCCCCCTCATGCCAAGTATTTAAAACCTCTAGAAACCCATGATTTGACAATCAATGATTGCGCGATACTTTCAATTTGAATATTCAAAGGCTTAACAAAATGGACTATCTTCTGCAGAAACCCTGCACACAGGCACCCCACAGAGAGTCCAGAGAAACAGGGAGTGAGACCCCTTTGGGTCCTGGCCCTTGCTTTTATTGTATTTTGAGCATTTTGTCCACCTTCTCACAGACAGAACAGGTGTCCTCAAAGATGCTCTGTATTTCAGCCTCAAAGGCAGCTCAGGGGCCAGAAGTGACTTAGGCCACCCCCCACGACCACCTGAGCCAGGCTGTCTGGGCAGACTGAATCCCACATTCTCAATCTCCATTTTAAGGGAAAATTTCAGGTTTNCTGTCTGGGCAGACTGAATCCCACATTCTCAATCTCCATTTTAAGGGAAAATTTCAGGTTTGGGGGAGTGAACATGGCAGCCACTGGGTGTGGCAGAGCAAGGAATCATTCTGTGTCCAGGTTGGAGGCCGGGGCCCAGCAGAGGCCTTCTGCTCCTCGTCCTTTTCTGGCCCCGCCTGGCCACGTGCTGGCTTCCCTCCCCTTTTCATCCTGCTCTCTTCCTGGGCCCCAAACAGGGGGTTTTAGCACAGAATGCTTGCCAGTTAAGACCCTTTGCTCTTCCTCCTGGGGCTAGAGATGCTGGTGGGCCTTGTCCCCTGGGGATTTTCTGAGGCTGGAGTTTGATCATTGCACTGTGGAGTCCCCTCCTCTCCTCCTCCTGCTAGAGCCACCCCCTGCCTTTTTGCTGCAGGGGCACATGTTAGGAAACAGTGACAAGCTAGGCCCCTGATCATTTGAGCTGAGAGGACATGGATTTGTGCTCAAGCCTTCTCACTTTGGGGTGAGTGGTGGGAGGGGTTTGAAAGTAGTCAGGCTGCCCCCTGGGTCCACATTGGAGCCCCACACAAATGACTTGGGACTGTGCTGGGTCATCTTCTCCAAGCACTTACTGTGCCTTTGGAGGATGGAGGAGACAGGAGTGGTCCAAGAGGGAGTGAGTGGCATGCCACATCCTCCCTTAGTCTCCCAGGGAAGAGGGCAGCACCAGAGGACAGAGGGGCAGGGTGGGGTTCCCTTTGCAAATAACTAAGATATACCCAGGATGCCAGACCAGGCGATGGTTATAGGCCTCTGCTGTTTGTGCCCTGAATTTTCTGGGTTGCTAAAGTGTAGTTTAGCCCCAGAGGCCTCCTGTAACAATATATGAATGCTCTGGAATGTGTCTGGTGCAGAGTGGAACATATGGAGCTCAAGGAAAGGGTGTCTCTGAGAATGACAGGACTGTGATGGGTAAGAATTGCTTGGCAGCTGGAGCCATGTCTCTGGGGAGAGGATTAGGGCTGGGGATATCTGAGGTGGCGCCTGTCAGTGGATGGCAGGATGGATGTTTGTCCCCAGCCAGGTTGGAATATGTCAGCTTCTGGNTGTCAGTGGATGGCAGGATGGATGTTTGTCCCCAGCCAGGTTGGAATATGTCAGCTTCTGGAGCCTCTTTCTCTGCCCTGAACCTGTGTCCTGAGCTTCACTGATGGAAGTCAGGCCTGAGGACCAGACCTCAGAGGGGAGGACAGTGGGACTTGAGAGAGCTCCTGTGCCCCGTCCCCATCTACGCCTGGACACTACTCCTTCTGAAGGAACAGAGAGCAAAGCAGCTTGGAATTAGGGATGGGCTCTTGTCCTCGTAGTTTTTTCCATTACTTCTTTTGTTTTCTGCCCCCCTCCTTTTGGTTTTACTCTTATTTTTTGGTTTGTTTCCTCTTTGTCGTTTTGGACTTTTTGTTTATTTTTTTCTGTGTTTCTTTTTTCTTGTCTCTTGTCCTGTTGCTGCTTTCTTGCAGTTTTCATCTGCATTGCTGTTTTTCTCCCTGGCTCCCTGCATGTCTCTGTTTTCCCCTGTAATGGAGTGCCGTCTCGTTCTTTCCGGCTTAAACTCCCTAACCTCTCCTTTCGCATGGGCAAGAATGGCAGGAGGCCATTGAGTTTTCTTAGCAACATCATTGATGTTGTGGAGAAGGCAGGCAAGGCTAGGCGAGAGGGGAGCTTCTTGGAGTTCATGGGGTCTGTAGGGACAGCAAATAACTCTTTGTCCTTTCCTCCAGAAGCCTCTGTCTGAACCACGGCAGCAGTCCTGGGGCTTCTGTGCTGGTCCCTGTTGCTGGGATGGATGTCCAGTGCTGTTGTTGGTCTGCAACTTCAGAAAACTAGATTTCCTCAGGCCTGAGCCCTGTTCTGAGAAAGAACTTTCCCCATCCCCCACCCCAGTTTTTAGCCCAACATTAAGGAATTTTGTTTCCTGTTGTTTCTGTAATTACAAGACCCTAGCACAGGTATTTAAGAGCCAAACTCTGTGCTTGTAGAGGTGAGGGGGAATCCTTTCTAAGTGGATCTTGTGAATGCTCTTCACAGTTCTGCATGTGTGATGAGGCCCGGAGCAACCTGGTCTACCCTCACACCCTGGACACCCATAGAATTGGCTGTTCCTCCTAGGAGACTCTTTACAGTTGTCATTCATTGTTTATTGGATGTCGGGCACTGTACTGTATAGTGTCCCCACTTCACAGATGAGGAAACAGGTCCAGAGGGCTAATAAGCTGCTTGCTAAGATGACTGAGCATGTACATGGCAGAATTGGGATTCAAACTTTGATAAGTCTAACTCCCAAGCCTTTGCTCTTAACTATTGTTGTTGTCTTCCTGATCTTTTATAACAGAAGCTTTTGAACTTTTTAGACTTCAACCCACAATAAGAAACTGATTTTACGTTTTCACATATATCTGTAATAATATCTACGGCTATAAAACAAACTTTTTGTGAGACAGGGTACACCTGTATATGTGAGGCATTCTGATATTTTCTATTATATTACATATTTTCCATTTCATTCTATTGATGAAAAATATGTGTGGGTTGGGAGTCACTAAGTTAATGACCCACAAGTGAGTCGTGAGTAGCATTGGAAAGATACTGCCTGTAGGATTAGCAATTGGAGGATTAGTGTTGTGCATGTGGAAGAATTGTGGTGTGGTGTCTGTTTTACTGACAGTACGTGCAAGGTGACTAAGACGATGTAGCACACTAACTTGAGAGCATTCTGTGAAGACCGGAAACACTAGAACCCTGAAGAAGAGGCCGGATAGAAGTGAGGCCGAGCTGTTTGTTTTGCTGATTATTGTTTGAGCTTCTAAGATTGGGAACTCTTCCCTCTTGTTGGGGGCATTGTCACCTCTAGGGTACCTGCCCTGAAGTCCTGATAATCTCTTTGGGGCTTTAATAAAAGACTGAAAAAAGATGTTGTAGCATTTCAACAGGCTTTAACAAGCTCAGTTGCTTGAAAATATAACATATGGTCTTGATGTTTGGAGGTTGGAAGGAATCTTTGAAGTGCTGAGAGAGACTTAGGGTCTTTTTCTGACATCTCTGCTGGTGGTTGTCCAGCCTCTGGCTCCATTTCTTGGCTGAGATCCTGGCTTGTAGTAGAATCTTTGTAGTGGAAATGGGAGTTCACTGTTTATAAGGCAGTCTGTTCCACTACTGGACTGCTTTAAATATAGTGATCAGTGATTGAGCCAAAATCCAATTAAGTATTAATTGAGCATCATCTATGTACTGGGCATGGTATCAAGCACCAGGAATACAAAGATGGTAAGTCCTGGTTTCTCCCATCAACTGCTCTGTGAGTTATGCAATATAATATCTATTCTCCCACTTCGCAGTACTGTTTTTCTATTATGGATTTGTTTGCTTCATTCATTCATTCATTCATTCAACCATCATATACTGATTATCTACTCTAATAGGGTCCAGTGCTAAGTCTGAAGAACTTATCATGCTTACCCCAACCCCACGCCAAGCCTTCTCTTTTTGAGGCTCACCATCCACAGTTTTCTAGTTCTTCACTGATTATCTACTCTAATAGGGTCCAGTGCTAAGTCTGAAGAACTTATCATGCTAACCCCAACCCCACGCCAAGCCTTCTCTTTTTGAGGCTCACCATCCACAGTTTTCTAGTTCTTCATGTATCATAGTTTTTCAGATCTCTGGGTATCCTTGCCCCTGAGCTCAGAAACCCTTTAGTTTGTCTTCGAACTTCTTAATGTCACTTGGCACCCAGAATGATGGGAATAGAATAGATTTGTTTTTAAAGTTTCAACCTGAAAATTTTTTTTTTTTGTCTTTTTTCCGTGTCCGGCCACGGATCGCAACCCTCAGTGTTGCCCCCGTACCAGACCGGGGACCGGCAACGGGATCGCAAGCCTCGGCGTTGCTCCCGCGCCTCGCTCAGCCAGCGAGCGGGAACCGGTCCGTATGTGGGATCCGAACCCTCGGGCGGGAGCGCCGCCGCGCTTCCCAAGCGGCGCACTATCCAGTGCGCCACCGGGCCGGCCCCAAACTGAATATTTTAATTAAAAAATTTTGGCAGTCTTTTGTATGCAAATGACACTGTAGAGTATTTTATTTTCCCCCCAAAGTAGGAGATTTTATTAAACTTATACACATGCATAGTAAAAGACTTTCAATGTAAGGAAAAGGGGTAATTTATTCCCTCCAAATTTGACTACAGCTCTAAATTCTCTTTATTAATGCAAAGTTCTTTTGTCACTCTGACTTTGGGACACTGTTACCAAACCTTTTGGGAAATATCAAGTTCCAAAAACTTGAATACACGGAGGAAATAAGTACTTCTTGGGCCCTAGAATGAACATTTGGTTCATATGAAAACGAGTAGGAAGGCTATTAAATGAAGGTTATTTGTTGATTTGTGTCCTCAGTCTTCTCTGCTAAGACACATTCAGAATTTTAACTTTTCCTTAAGAGTATTCCACTGGGAACAAGCATTTGATAATTTATCATTTAAACAGGGAAAA